CTTAAACGTATGTATGTTGTACATTTACACGGTCGGATCTTAATTCTTACTTGTTAAAATTCTCAAACTGTCTGAAAAATTTATTAAACTAACAATGAGAGAAAAATAATCCCATCTGGCTTATAACACGCACTGGTTATCTTGTAATACCTTTTTTGTGTATAAATTTTCAAATTATGGGTTGTATCAAAGGACTACATCCGCTTCTCTCATTAAATATTGTACTTTATGTGTTCTCCTGGGATGTAACTCCGATCTCGTTCTGCATAAATTAGCTGTAAGATGGAGCTTTGACAGAATGCTCTTCAGTGAAGTTATAGAGCTTCAAAAGGGTTATTAACATAGGTGAGGCTTTCACTAACAAAAACCAGTTTCTAATATCGCAAAGAAGGGAAACATGGTATACATGGGACTTGCGGGCCAATACTTCTCGGAGCTGGATTCAAATTTCAATGGCCCTCCTAGAGCAGTCGATCCAGCAGTCCGTGCTCGCAAACTTGTAAGTAATACATTTGCACAAGCAAAGTTCATTTAATTATGCAGTACATGCAATTGATGTAACGTAATGAAACTGTGGTATTATAGTGCTTCATAACGTTTGGCTTAATGGACCTCTTCCATTAAATAAATATATTTACAGACGAGACATCATAAATTTTTTAAATAACATTTTTTAATCGGTTATTATTTTATTCGTTACTTTATTATTATTGAATGTTTTATGTACGTAATGCTAAAATACTTCTCACTAAAAATTTATTTTTAATCCGTCTTATACGTCTCAAATATCAACATTAAACTGATGTATTTTATTAATAAATATATATGAATGATGAAACTTGCATCTTTTATATTTTTTAAGTTTAATTCATTAAAACTGTACATTTTAAAAGCTTTTTATCTGCTGGAAACTATTACCGACATTTTCGCCCACTTTTCTTATTAATCCAAACATACAAAACAAGAAAGAAACTTCTTTTCTATCTCATAAAGATATTTTAATTGAAAATAAATAATTAACTTATGATAAAAGTTATTTTTGGATGAGTTTATATAAAACGGTATTTAAATTACAACGAAAACTTTTTCCATTACATGAAATTGAAAGCATTTATAAGGCGCTTTGTGATGTTATACTCAAGCATTAAGAATTACTATGAAATGTAATACATATGTAATAAGTTCTCCAGAACGTAATATCATCTTTCTTTGATCAAACAGTCTTTAGTGTATACTTTAATACACGAAGTTTTCTGATATTGATTATGGATGGTTTCTACATTTCAGTCTCTTTACGATTTGTATGAATAAATCCTTAACGTATAAAGCCATTGCAGATTTTTATCTTTTTACATGGTGTAATGCAATTTTCAATATTGTAAACCACGTTGCAGCATTTATCGTAATCCGCGGTGTAATTTTCAACAAAACGAGATGCGCCGTGTGCTTAATCCTTTGCATTCACACATTTAATATATATAATCCTCTTTGTTCAATTCAAGTGGACATTTTATTCTATATAACTTTTCACTACGTGTAAAGTTTTTTATGCTGTTGTTTACACTTTTTTATATCAAGAAAATAAAATTTTATCTATTATATGGTGGATTCACTTTTTTCCTATTTAAAAAAATCAAGAATTTATATGAAAATATCTAAAATATAAAATTATCCCATATTTTATATAGATGCATTTTTATCACTTCTGAAGTTATTGTAAAGAAATTCAAAAAAGTTTATAAAAGTTTTTTTATGCTAAAATAATCAAACATTTATAATATATGGATAACATAATACTTACTTATATCGCTGCGGTACAATAGCCGCATCAGCCGCAGGACATCCTCTGTACAATAATTCATCGGCTTTTAACGGACGAAAATGCCAATTGTGTGTGTTGTGCACATTTAAAATTGCCTGAAAGCCATCGTTGATTAGTCACGTTGATTGATCACGCTGTATTTTCTGCGTTCGCAACTGATCGTTTTGTCGACCGATAATCGCATTTCGATGGGATGCGTGACGTAACGTATTTAAATAGTAACCTCTTCTGTGAGTGAACTGCTTTTCATTCCGCGATGCGGCTTCGTCGCATTTGCTACTGAAACACGACCTGAACGTTAATGAGGCAGTGCTGTATTGCATTATTATCGCATACCTTTTTCCTGTCTGTATTCAACATTTGTCAATATTTCTGTAAGAAGTGGAGTTTAATTTATATGAATTTATATCTATTATGTAAATGTGATGATGTATAGTCACGTGGAAAAGACATTGATTACATATTTCATCATAAGCTTCTGGGGTAGGGGAGGAAATGTGTTTGATCGACGCTGAGGGTTTATATCGCGTGGAAAATCGAGAACGCTCGTCGTACGTTTAGTAGCACGTTAGCATAACTCAAAAAGCATACATTACAAAGAGAACCATAGTATGCTACATTCTTGAGACTAAAATATGGGAGTTGCTTGTTTTAATCCATGGTTTTTACCCTGTCGTTGCACATAATGCGTATAAATTATGGACACATGCGACACGAGCGAGACGGTGTCCCGAGAGGAGACATCGAGTTTCTAATTATACATTAATTTTGTACGTAATTATGTTGTCGGGAAAATTGTAAATGCTATTTCAAATTTTACAGAATCAAATCGATGCAATAACATTTCCCACTCGGAGCGCTTAAATAATTAACAGCGAAATCTTGAAGCTTTCCTCTAGAACGTTCTATACATTTTTTGTATTCGTGTCATCCTCTTAAAGAGATAAAGCGAAACTAATTTATGGAATACCTACTAACGAGAACCGAGGCTATATTTTGATTTTACCGTGTAAAGGGATGAACACATCTCTTGAATATAAAAGGGTATTTAATCCTAAGAGTGATGAAACCACCTTAGACAAAAGTGATCATTCATTTTGGATTAGAGGAGAAAATTTACGCACATTATTAAGGTTATTTTTGTCGTGTATAAAACGAGAAGATTATTAGTATGCTTAGAGTAATTTATTATAGATTCCAAAAGTATGCATTTAATAAGAGAACTTTCGTTATAACATTAGAATTGCAAAACAATCAAACCAACTGATTTGTAATTTTCTTTTTGAATTACTCAACAGTGCATTTTCTAAGATTTTCTGAGACTTTTGTTGGAATGTGTAAAAGATAAAATTAATTTTTTTCCTTTTTACTTTTACTTTTATACCTATTTTTTTTAAAGATGTAACTAAATCAGTGAGTATAAAAAGGACACGAGTCTTTTTTGTCAAATTTTTTAGTATTAATAAAAAATTGTTTTAGTTTCATTGAAAAAACTGACAAAATTACTTTTGGGAATTTAAATAACATTCAATAATATTTTTGACATTTCTGGTTTCTAAAATGATCGTTTACACTGAACAAAGAGTCCAGTTGCATTAATTGCAATTCTGATTGAAAATAAACAAATCAGAATTTTTTGGTTGAATTTATTATAATTTTAGTTGAGATAACCAGAATTCTGATTGATATGATCAGAATCTTCTGATTCGTCTGTTTTCAATCAAAATTTTTTCTCAATGTATTAAATTAAAAATTTTTTATTTATATTCTTTTGGACTCAACGTTAACGAAAAGAAAGTATGCTACTACAGATACTTTATTTTCAAAAATATCAAATCTATGGTAAACTATAATATTTCTGATGTAAGAGATCACCTTGTATTGAACAAAATTCCAAAACATAATACAAAATCTTTGAAATTACATTATCATTTTGCTTGAAAACTATAAAGAATTTGATATTTAAATAAAAGGGCAATGCATTCTTTTCGTTCTCATTTTCAACGTCTACTTTAGGCACTTAGCAGCTTGGAACAAGCCTATTTGCATTCAAAGCATATTTTAAGATCAATAAGAAGAAAAACTTATTTTCGAACAAACATAAACTCGTATATCCTTTCTACTTTCACCGATTTAAATATGATATACTTAAGTAATAAAAACTAATCTAATGATGAAAGCGAATAATTTGAAAGCGTGAAACAGTGATATTTTATCATTTTTGCATTGACGTATTGACATAAAACCCGACATGCCACAATGTACCGATCAAGATAGTGGCATTCAGGAGTGTCCCAATCAATCGGGTATCTTTCGATCGAAATATATATGAGTCCTTTTATCTCGTACGTGGCCTATCTACGCCACGGCCGAGGTTTAGCCGAAATAGTTTGCGCGCGTGCACGTGTAGATACCACAAATTGCTAAGGCTGAATCTCATTCGTGCATGGAATGACAGGACGGTTTGGGTTCATGGGCGTAACGTCTAACGCGATACCTCCTTCGACTATTGAGTCTGAGGGACTGCATGTATAGTACCGTTGTTAAGGTGTACTCCGTATTGACCGGGCTCGCCTTGGCTACGGCGGACTCGTAGCACCACTACGTGCGAAATCTGCAAATGAATTTTTCGGACATGCTCGGCTATGCCGGAGAGAGATTTTGTCATTAGAACAAAAGATATACTCTCGTTGTCGCAAGAAAACATCCTTAAGACACTTTCTGTTTCTCTTTCTTTCTTTCTTTCTTTCTTTCTTTCAAAAAAAGTCCCGCGTCTTTATATTCGTTGAGTTTACAGCGTCGTTTCTTTTTATAAGGTTGATGATGCCCTTGTCTCTTATACGTTTGTACGTCGCGTACAAACGTGGTAACATCTCGTTACTTTTTATTCACGAAATTTACGGCAACGACCGTAAAAAGACGACAGATTGTTTCGCATCTTGAGCGCGAGTTACGAAACTTAGGCCCAGTTCTAGAATTGGAAAGAGATGAGGAATAAATTGAACCTGGGTTAAGAGTTAACCGTGAGTTGTGAAACTGGGCCTTAATCGTTTATTTCGATCCGTCAGCTTGCCTTTCGTGTCTCAAGAGAGTGATACAGACGAAGGCAATGATACAGACACGAATGATGTAAATGTGTCCGTCTCTCAATCGATTTGCGCTTCCTTATGCATTCCAGGTGGGCATGGAACGCCGTGACGTCATCCTGACAGCAGTTTTCGGAACAATCGGTGCTCTCGCAATTCTAGTAGGACTCGCATTAGCAATGTGGCTCTATCTACGCGCCAGGAAGTCCAAGCAACGGGACGACGATCTCGAGGACCAAAACGATAATGGCGACGGCTCGAGCCAACAACAATCTACTAAGAAAAATGGTTTTCTGAATCTGAAGACACCTCTAATCAGCACGAAGGCTCTTGGGTAAGTGCGAATTTTTCTTTTTTATCAAAATAATTGAGCAGGTAATGTCACGGTCCAGCTCTGAATTTAGTCAATTTTCTATAAAAATGTATTCTTTCAAGGAAATTTTGAATACTATAATAATAAACAGATATCTTTTATATTTTTTATCTTTATTTATCTTTTCTTTTATATACTGCAGTCACTAGTGGCGATGCAATATTTCAAAGTTTATGTAAGAATAAATGAATATATTTTACGTTGACTTTAATGAAAAGTAAACAAACTGCAATTGTTATGCGTTTGTTATTTTTATTTGCTCGCAAGTTTGTCGCTGTTGACGGTGTCCTAAATCACTTGAAGATACCACAATATATTCGCAACTTGACAAAGAGTATCATTAATCTTGAGTTCTTCTTACGAGTAACTAAGGACGTCATTCATTCTATTTTATCGCACAAAATCGAGTATCTTCATTGTGGCATTCGTTTCATTAAACGAAGATGAAATAATATTTTATAGCGACACAGCAGTCGCGATGCTATTGAAGACAATTTCGTGTTTATTCCCTCGCACAATCGAGTGCACGATTTATCGTCGAACGTTTTCTATGTGCGAAGCTCGTAGGTCGCTTCATTATTGTCTGAGCAACGAATGGCAATTCAACGTAGTAGTACAACCAAATATTAGTCAGACGGTCAGACCTGTCTGAGTATCAACAGCGGAATTGCCCGTCGGTAAGTTCGTTTTACCGGTAAAAGCGTTATCGACGATGGAATTTCGTTGTGAGAGATCTTCCGTTTCTCGAGCCTGAATAACGGAAATCTGCAAAATGGTTGTACCAGCGGAACGTTATTGACGAACATTATCGTTTATATCGCCCAACGGTACTTTACATTCGTAACGAGGATCGTTCATTACGAGGGTCGTTTATTACCATTTCTAGTCGAGTAATCAAGAGGTCCCAATTCGTTACGTACATCGCTTAGTATGGCAAAGCCAAAGCGAAACTTGGCATTATTACCAGCTAGGTAATGTTCGCTTTGAAATATTATTTGATTCTGTGAATTTCTGATTATTACGTAACTTTACGAACTATGTATGTGCCGAGATAAAGCGTTTGAAACTCGCTATTAAACAGCATTGTGTAATTATGATTTTGTCTTTTATAATTTGTGAACTGTGTAAAGTACACATTTTTGGCAAAAATTGTTTGACATTTTAGAGAACGTTTTAGGGGAGTTAATTATTTAGTACAATTTTGTTGACGTTTGTATTATACAGTTAATATACTATTATTATTGTGCTTTATTTTTGATAGCGGACTATATCTGTTGAAGCAATTAAGAAATTTAAATATTGACGTTTGCTCAAGAATTTTTAATGACACAAATCTATTCTATTAATCGCACAAATATATTCTTGGGTTGATCAAATTTACTGCTATTAGATTATGCTTCGTAAGACCGTTTTAGACAATCTAAGATTCGTAGTAACTAGATTTCAGAGTAAATTTCTATTTATAATCTTACATGCATTTCAGAATATGAGTCTATATTTTAATATACATTTTATGTTGCATTTTGATTCTTTCAGTTTTTTATCATATAACATTGTAATAGATTTTGAATTCTAATATAAATCGTTTACAATGAATTTTAATCAAAGTATTCTGAGAATTTTTAAATTTAACGCTCCACTTAGACGATATAATTCGTGTCAGAAATCAAGATAGAATTCTGTTTATAATTTTTATATGTTGTGTAATACATATAAAAATATTTGAAGGATTATATTACACACACACACACACACACACACACACACACACACACACACTTATATTAAAATGTACACATATATCAAAATAGACGGCATTAAACGAATTTCATGCAAATAATTCCTCGAAAATGTGCACCAAGATTTGCGCATATTTTCGACATTCACTGTATACATGATTATGCATGATGATTATGCTTTTCTCTTATATAATCTGTTAACATGTTTTTGATGTAGTTATTTAAATATACGAAGTTTTAGATAGTTGATAATGATCCAAGAAAGGAGCAATAATTTTGCTGACATTTCTATTAGAATGTCTGTGGCTACGTTTACACCTTTCATTTAGGCCGCGGCCTATACAATAAATGTCCTTGTTTATCCTGTAGGTTAAACATAGACACCTATCGTATAGGTCGCGGACTAAGTGCATGGTATAAACATAGCCATTAATCTTGTGGTTTATTTTTTTGAGGACCGTATACGCGCTACTGTCTGTTAAAGATGTTAAAAAATTTAATCTTTAATACACACGATGATTTATTTCCTTTACTACTCATGATGAATTGTTCGCATTTCGGATTAATTTTTATTACTTTGACGAGTATACAACAATTATTAAGTGATTCTTTCATACATTTTAACAACTTTAGAAAGTGTTTATAAAATTATGATTAAAAATGAAGGAAAGGATAAAGATTATTTAGTGCCAGGTGCTCCTAGTATTTCAAAGAAAAAAAAATGCTCGGGAATGATCCATCGTGTGTATCAAGAGTTAAATACTAGCTTAGAATTAGTTTTTAATTGTTCGACCATTGGTATCGAATTCAATGTTATCACAAAGTTACGTTTGCTTCTAAACATCATCCAATTAAAAACATTTATATAATACAATATATATGCAACTACACGAACTATAGAGAGACTAATAATTTCGCTAACTAACATTTTAACAATATTTTCCTCTTAAATAATTTTTAGGGGATTCAAAATAGTATAATAATTCTGTCGACATTTGGTTATAATGCAAATTTCATTAATTTCACTGTTTATTTTTCAACGGTCAGCTATCAATTAGAGATATTAAGAAATTTAAATATTAGTATTTGCTCGAAAGCTTTTACTTGCGCAAGTCCATCCCTCCATTGTAGATTGGCAGTCCTTTGTAATTCCATCTCTTGATGGACATTTGGCTGAACTCTTTAAATAGAGCTGGGCCCCTCTCGACGTTTATATGAAGCAGATAGAACAATCGTTTGCGAACCATTCACGTAACTTGCTTTTCATGACTACTCCAACTGATGTTTCTCTGTTTATATTTTTCTCCGTTAGATATGAGATACGCGTATATGATATTGTCAAACGCGCGCGTAACCGTATGATTGACAAGTACAGACTTTCCATTCTTCTGTATAGTATTGCATTGAATAACGCCCGCGATAAGCTATTCTCCGATTTTCAAACGAACAAAAAACTGTTTAATGAATATCTCGATATCCACAGAAATAACCGAGGTTTTTCAACATTGTATTAAAACATTTTTAACCGGTTATCTCACAGCAAAATAGCGATGATTGAAACTTCATTTCTTCTATCGCTTATACATATCTCAATAATAAACTTGTAAAATAAATAAGCGTTTAAAATTTTTACCGCTTTACATGTGGAAATGGAAATGCAGGAGAAAACGGAAAAAAATTTATTAATTTTTTCCTGCTAGTTTGTTTTTCTTGTATAGAGAGAGAGAGTACTCTTTTATATCAGTGCTGTAAACGCGTGGAATATTTATATTTTCATAAGAGAAGCAGTATACGCATAAAAAATCAGAAAATTGTCGCAATCTGCATATATATTCGGTTTTATGCCAAATATCAATGAGAGAGTATTAAACGTGGAAATAGAGACAGTAATCCATTCTAATCGTATTGGCGATTCGATTATCAAGAAATTTGCATACGATTTGGTCCGGGAAGCGAGTAACTGCGGAATTTTCCACGACAGAAGGTAAAAACAATGCATGTGGCAATATACAATTTTCAATGGCTGTCGAGATTGTGGCCCCGAGTGTATGCGCGTTTTAGAAATGCGTTGTGACGTTTATTCTCGTGCTTTCCAATATAAATCGCGACGGAACAAAACGCGTCGTATGAATAGCTCGAGGGAAATAACGGTATAGCTGATCGAAAAAGCAGAAATTATTCTCAAATTTTATTATTTACTCAGTTTCTATAAATACGAGCAACAAATATTTTTATTACTACTTCCCCTTTGCGAAACGATATTTTTGTTTTTGAATTTCATTTTACCGAGTATTACTTCTGTAACAGCGAGTTCAGCATGACGGAGACGTTGCGTGAATTTGTATGAATGACGTCGCGTGAATTTGTATGAATGACGTCGCACGTTACGCATTTCTCCTTTTTTGTGTAAGAAAAAGAAAAACAGTTACAATTTAGCGACTAATCCAGAAATATGTAGTAAATTAACAGAGTTTTCCGCGTAATCCCACGTGTTCTTTTAATTCTCCATATTCATGAATGGAAAATACGGATGATGACGTGTTATGCAACTCGGCACTCGTGCGACACCTCGACTGCAGGGAAATCAGTAGAACACGGTGATTTATTTGTACAGTGCGAATAGCGGCGCATTAGTATTTCGGCGTAGTTTGGGCTGTTATGATCGTTAGTACCATAGTTCTCCCGGAGGAACCTGAAAACTTGTGCGCGCATCACTGAATTATCACCTCCGCTGTTTCATCCAAATTGGTGCGCCGTTTTGAATTCGCTTGTTGATTTTCAAAAGTATTCTTCGAAACCTTCGACAGGGATTTACGAAATTTTCTATCGACGAGCAGATCAGCGCGATTGGTAGCGCGAGCGTGAATAAGAATCGATTCCAAGCGCGACCGTGGTGCTAAACCACAAGAGGGATTTCGTCGGGAACTGCGAACGCCCGCTATTCACGAAAATGGAAACGTCAACGATGCATCCGCAAATCGAGCAGAGTTCTTTCAGCGAGAGGCCGAATGCCGGATAGTTCAGTGGCTCTGAATGGAAAATTCTGGAAAACAAGTCTCCTCTAACCCAGCGAAGCTCTATCGGGCAAATCTGCCGTGTATTACCTTTCTTTATTTTTTTTTTTTCCGTTAAGTTTTCCGTGACGTATAAGCGATGGAATAGTTGTACGTGGTGTGTGCATGTACACACGAGGCTGTAGTCGTATTCGAATCAATCTCGGAT